TTGTTAATTGTAAATTTGTAAAAAAAAAGAATTTTTAAAAATTTTCAACTTTGTATTAAAAGTGTCATTATTTACCGAATGACACTTTATGACAACAGTCATAAATATTCATGAAGGCTTATTCATGTTCATGACAGGTGTTATGTCATGTTTATGATGGTGTCATGACAGTCTTATTCAACCCCCTTCAAATAAAGAGTTACCGAATTTTTATTCTAGTTTCTAGTGCAAATATATTAGTACACTTAAAATAAGGCAAAACTAACTTACAAATAATTTTTCAGCATTAAATGATTTTTGAATATTGATCAAAAGTGCTAGTGACACCGGTAGATTATTTAACTTATAACTTTTTTCCTCAATATTCTGGCAGCTAGCACTTTTTCATCAATATTGGGAATTATTGACTGAAAACAAACTTCTATATCTTGCTGAAAAGTTACTTGTAGGTGAGTTTTGTCTTCTTAACTGCACTAAGATACTTGCACAAGAAACCAGAGGTAACATACTTAATAAGATTTTGTGGTTTTGCAGTGTGTGAAACATAAATGTGAAAAAGTTGCCAAATATTTAGTTGGGTAAAAAGAAAGATGGTTGTTTAGTCGTATGACTAAAAACCATTAAAATTCATTAGATTTACATGAATAAAACTTGGTGACAAATTTTAAGTGTGTGTTTTTTGTTAAGTAAACAGTTTAAAGAGTGTTTTTTTTAATTTTTTGCAGGATGTTTTGTACACTGTGTGTAACCCTGTTGGTAACGTCCAGCGCATCGTCATCTTCAAACGCAACGGCATCCAGGCCATGGTGGAATATCCTTAAGATCGCTTTATCATTTGAATTTGTTTATTTCAATAATGTAGAAGCTAAAGAAGCTTAGATTACTATTGAGCAGCTAAAGTAAGTAGAAAAACATGCATCAAAGGTTTGTTCTAAAAATATTATAAAATAACATATAATTTTTGCGACCCCAAGTGCTTGTTCATTTTGATATAGCTGAAATTGTTTAGATTATCACTGAGCAGCCAAAATAGTAAAAAAGAATTGCAATAATGGTTTGTTTTAAAAATGAAATTTTTAAAAATTATTTTTGTGGTCAAAAAGTGCTTTGGCCATCATGGTAAAAAGTTTGGACACCACTGTCACATATGAATGAACAATCTGTACTCAAAAAACTTTTTATTGACATATAATGGATTACTGTTCTCTTTCTATTATAGCTTTATGTTTTGCTTGTAAAATGTAATATTTGTTTTAGGATCATCTAAAGGGTTTGGAATCTCTTCATTGTGGTTTGATAAACCTGGGGGCCCAAAACTACATCCTGCTCAGGGCCCCCAAAAAGCTAGAGATGGCCCTGACCAAACTGGGTTTTTTTTCTTTCTTTTCTCTTCCTGTCATGAATCACAGACAATCTTTATTACAGAGAGTTAACAGCTAAACCAGCAGAACAAACATGTTTTACATTTGTTTTTTAAGCTCCTACAGTGTGTTTTTGCTATATGGGCTATAGTAAGGCTATTTTCAGCAGCTGAAACTAATTACCTCTGCACAGGCTGATCTCTGTGTGGGAAACAACACGGTAATGACACAGTCACATCCTTTGGTTCACTCACTTAGCACTGTTTCCATAACAACCAGAAACAAGAAATTATTTGCTTTGGTATTGCTGTTGTGTCAAAATAAAAAAATAATTAAAAAAAACAAATAAATAAATAATAATAAACATCACGACCAGCAACTCAAACGGTTGTTTCTCTTCCTTTCCCGATTGGCTGCTTGTCGTTCTGCTGAGTCATCCTTAACAAATGAATCAACATTTCAGTCCGTGGAAGACGCTCAGAAAGCCAAAATGGCTCTAAACGGCGCAGACATTTACTCCGGCTGCTGCACGCTGAAGATCGAGTATGCTCGGGTAAACACACTCACACACTGTCCAGCAGACACGCGCCCAGGTGTACACACATGCATGCATCCTCATCCTTAAGCCCACGCACACACACCCACCCAGAGGTGCTGTGCTCTGTCGCCCCCTGCAGCCCAACAGACTGAACGTCGTCCGCAATGACACCTCCAGCTGGGATTACACCAAACCCTTCCTCCTGCACCGAGGTAGGACAGCTTCAGGTTCTGCTCACACACACACACACTTACAGACACAATTATACATACTCACACACACACACACACACACACACACACGAGGCTGCTGTCATTTTCTGTGAGTATTCAGAAATGTATCTTGATTTGATGACTGAGATTTTTTGTACGTATAGAAATTAAATATAAGTATTGATGTTTCAGCCTTGTTTACTTTGCTCTCTGTGTGTTTGTAGTGTCAACAAATAGTTCAAAAGCTTTATTTCTTTAATCATTTCAGTATGAAAATAATGTGGAATCTCAACTTCATTTACGATGGCGTATTAGGAGCATTGCATTTTAAATTAGAAAAAGGAGCACATTACTGCCAACAAAGTCTGAAGGAAATGTCTTAGTTTGAAAAGTCAAATATCTGCTAAAACAAAATTCAGAAACTTTGATATTAAACTCAGAAATAGTCTAGAAAAAAAGCTCAGAAATTTCTGGGTTTCAAAAGTCAAAAATGTAAATAAATAATGATACATTTTTATGTTTTTTAATATATTTTTGAGCTCATTCTCAAAAAATTTTCCAGAAAATGTTTGACTTTCACACTCAGAAATGTTCAAGTTTTTTCTAGAAAATTTCTGAAATTAAGCTAAAAATGTTTGAATTTTTTTTCTAGCAATCTTTTTAAATGTCTGAGATTCATGTTATTTTGGCAGAAATGTTTTCTTTTTCTATCTACAATGGCTTTAGTATAGCATCATAGCTACAACCAGTGCTGAGTGATTGACTTTATCAATTAATCAAATCTTTAGTTTTTGAAGATTTAAGTTTTTGAAAATGTTTATCTTTTTCAAACTCAGAAATTTCTTGTTTTTGTAGAAAAATTCTGAGATTAATCTAAAAAAAAATTTTCTACCAAATTTTCAACTTTTCCATAGTATTCTTAGAAATTTTTTTTAAATTAATCTTAAAATTTCAGAGTTTTTTGGTGGAAATTTACACTTCCTTTCATCTCTTTGCATTGGTCATAATGGTCCATTGTTTTCAACTCAGGCTGGGCGAGAAATCGATGTCATCAATTATTCAAACTTTTGAAGATTCAAGTTTTGGAGAATCTGGATTTTTCCAGGCTCTCCTTGGGTTTCCATACTTCAGAGTGATGTTGGCGCTCCCTGTCTTTAGCTTTAAAAGTTTCTTTTGTTTGTTTCAGATCGGGCGAAGGGAAGGCAGCGTCAAGCCATCCTGGGAGAGCATCCATCCAACGGCTACGGTACCGACTCTCGCTCTTCCTCCCTCCCTGAATGTTTCCTCCTTCTCCTCTTCCTCCTCCTCATCCTCATTTGAAATTTCTCATTATCTTTGCTCGTCTTCGCAGGCCCTCACTGCCCCCTGCTGCCACTGCCTCCTAACAGCCGGTACAGGAGAAGCCATGAGCCGGTGCCGGAGCTGGTTTCCTACAAGCAGCTCGTCCCAAAGACCTTCTCCTCCACCGTTCCCTCCGCCCTGCTGGCCTCCAGCGCTGTCGCCATGGTGAGCGGCCTCCATCCCAACAAGATGAACTGCAGCCGCCTCTTCAACCTCTTCTGTCTCTACGGCAACGTGGAAAAGGTCTGTCTGAGTTTTATTTATTATTAAGCATCTTTTTCATGGGACAAACAAGATAATCATAAATAAATTAATTGATTTTAGGGTTTTACGGGTGCTTAAAGAGGCAGTATCATGTATTTTCCATCAACATTGCGCCTTTTATAGCAAAATCAAGTAACTTAAATTTGCAATCATTATGTTGTATTATTATTATTTCACTTTTTAATAGATTTTAGGTATACAGTTCAAAAAGCCCATCTAGAGATAAGTGTTGAAAATTAGCTTACACTATAATAAGCACTGTGCTACAAACATTGTGCTGTTTTATTCAGTTTTTCTGTGTTAATGTGTGTCAAATAAATCTAATTAAAATAAAAAAAACTGCTACATATATCAATTGAGACCTAAAAAACATTTGACTTTGATATTGGGTCTCTGTCTCTTTAAAAACTCCTGCTCTTTCTGAAACTCAATATTGCTTCTCTATTAACGGTGCAGTTTCTAACTT